AAGGAAGGAAGATGGAATAGAGATGGGAAGGAAGGAAGGAAGGAAGGAAGGGGATGGGACAGAGATGGGAGGAATGAATGAAGGAAGGGAGGGAAGGAGGAAGGAAGGAGATGAGACAGAGATGGGAGGGAGGGAGGGAGGAAGGAAGGAAGAAGATGAGGGAGGGAAGAAAGGAAGGAAGGAAGAAGATGGGAGGGAAGGAAGGAAGATGGAATAGAGATGGGAAGGAAGGAAGGAAGGAAGGAAGGAAGGAGATGAGACAGAGATGGGAGGAAGGAAGGAAGGAAGAAAGATAGAAATATATATATATATTTGCTGATGCCCGGTTCTTCCTGTCTCCCTCTTAAAATAAGATGATGTTATGGGGTTCCTGGAAAAGGATTCCAGATCCAGTCTGGTTTAAGAGCAGAAGGATTTAAAAACAGGATTTGGAGATTTGGGCCAGAGGCAAGATGGCTCTGCCTTTGCGGTGGACCAAAACAGCAGAAATCCGAGATGCTTTTTGGCGTGCAGGGCTGTGGGGGAAGCAGGGAGCAATTTGGTTCTGCTTCTTTTTCTTCTTATCTCTTCCTGGATTAATTGGCTGCTGTTCGCCCAGCTTTTTCGTCCACGGAGAGAAAACGTGACTTTCACCCCCACGACAAAATGCTGTTGTGTAATCAGCAGCAAAGGGGTTAGAGAGAAAGAAGGATGGAGTGAGTGCGGAAGTCGGTCACTGCTGCCCAGCTGGTCTTTCGCCTGGTCAAAAATTTCATTAGGAAGGATGGAAGGAAGGATGGAAAGATGGATGGATGGATGGAAGGAAGGAAGGAAGGAAGGAGGGAGATGGGAGGGAGGGAGGAAGGGAAGGAAGAAAGGAAGGAGGGAGGGTGATGGGAGGGAGGGAGGAAGGGAGGAAGGAGATGGGATGGAGGGAGGGAGGGAGGGAAGGAAGGAGATGGAAGGGAAGGAAGGAAGGGAAGGAAGGAAGGAAGGAAGATGGGAGGGAGGGAGAGAAGGAAGGAAGGAAGAAAGAAAGAAAGAAAAAAAGAAGATGGGAGGGAGGGAAGAAAGGAAGAGGGAGGGAGGGAGGGAAGGAAGGAAGGTAGGAAGGAAGGAGGAAACAAAGGAGAGATTGGAAAAAGGAACTTCCTTCCTTCCTTCCTTCCTTCCTTCCTTCCTTCCTTCCTTCCTTCCTTCCTTCCTCCCCAATTTCCATTCTTTTCAGGCCAATCGATTCTATCGTGACAACTTTACTGAATTCCAGTCTGTTTTTCTTGCTCTCCTGTAAATGACCCTGTGCTCCTTGGGGAAGACAGGAACACGTGTGCCGTGAGTGTTTTCTCACAGGTATTCTAGCTTCCACTGTCTGAATGGATGCCTTGGGGTGCCAGGGAGGGGGTAGGTGGGCAGTGTGTGACCCATCTTGGCTCCCCACTCGACTCGATGGTGCCTCAGTTTCCCTGCACGACGTTTTGGATTTGATTTACCCTTTGAAGGCCGCGCACTTTCTCCGAGGCTGGGCAGATCCGGGAAAATAATACACAGGTCGTCCTTGACCTACGATGTTTCATTTAGTGACCGTTCAAAATTACAACGGTGCTGAAAAAATGACTTTTTTTCACACTGACGACTGTTGTAGCATCCCCGTGGTCACGCGATCAAAATTCAAACGCTTGGCCACTGACTCGTATTTATGACAGTCGCAGCATCCCGGGGGGGTGTCACGCGATCCCCTTCTGATGAGTAAAGTCAACGGGAAAACCGGATTCGCTTAATGACTGTGTTACTAATTGAAGAACTGCGGCGATCCGCTTAACCGCCGTGAGCAAAACTCACTGAACAGACGTCTCACTCAGTGACAGAAATCTTGGGACTCAGCTGACGTCGTAAGTCAAGGACTGCCCGTATTTCAGCAAGGAGCACCGAAGAGGCCCATCGCTCAGATGGGAATCGTATTTAAATACATCTGGAGAACATCGTTAGGAATTTAATTTGCCTTTTTTTTTGTTTGCTGAACCCAGGCTGACGTCAATTTTCCTGACCGCTGTGCTTTCCGAAGGGTAAAATGGAAGCTGGGAGGACTGATTCATGTTTTAAAGCAACCTAGTTGGGTTAAGAATATGAGAAGACCAGTTTTGGGGCAGAATTAAGTCTGGGGAGGTGGCGTAATGGGATTCCCCCCCCAACCACTTTGGAAAGCAATCGTTTGGAGAAAAATGCAAGGCTTTTTGCTCTAAGGAATCAAAACTCTCCTGTTGGGTTCAGCCAAAGTTGTTTCTTTCCTTTAAAAAAAATTATCCTGCTGGACTTCGGGGTCCGAGGCCAGGCAGACAAAATCAGTGCAATTCACTAAAACCAGCAACGGCTTAGCTAAACCTCACGTGCATACGTGCATGTGCAAAGTGCAAAGAAGAGCAACTACGATGATTAAAGGCCTGGAGACTTAAACGTATGAAGAACGGTTGCAGGGTTTGGGAATGGCCAGTCTAGAGAAAAGAAGGA